TACAGCTACCGTCCATTCCTCTCTGTTCCATGCCTCAAACATCTCCCTGTACGGCCTATCTATTTTTCCCAGCTCAGACCCGTACACTTCCCGCTCCTTCTTGTACCACGGACATTCCGCGACTACATGAACACGGTCTTCGCATTCGAAGCCGCAATCACATTTGAACTCGTCGTCTTCCGTCTACCGTCCTATATCTTCGTCGACGTTCTCGAAGGCCTATGTCCCCCCGGTCCTGAATTTGACCTTAAGCTTTCTTCCTGCATCCACTGGTCCATGTAGGTAGTCCTTGAACCCTATTCCTTCCTTCAACATTCCGTAAACTTCCAGACCCTCCTCATCCTTGGATTCTTTCCTTAGATTCTGTTCTCTCTCGGCACAAGCAACAGAAATCTTCTCCTTGAACCTCTGTAGACCCTCCGTTTCCAGCGTTTCATCTTCGTCGATGTCGAGCCCCTTCCATACGTCCTCTACAACCTTGACCCATTCCGTGGGTTGTCTACCCCTCTTTTTGTTTGCCCACTTCGCCTCCCATACAATTCTCGGCAACCTCTCCTCTCCCATCCCGCACATGCGATACTGCCAGGTCAGCTTCCTCGCGTCTCTTCCCGACCGTAGGGATTGGATCCCCAATTCTGCCCTCACGGCTGCATTACTTGTGCGCCTGGAGCATCCTAGGATGGTTTTCGCTGCTTTCATCTGCGCCGCCTCGAGTTCTTTCACTACCTTCTTATTTCCTTCCCATACTTCTCCGGTGTACTCTAGCGGCGGTACGATTATGCTCTTCAAAACCGTCAATTTGATGCGTGTATCGAGGTGCCGGTTTGCGAGTATTGGATGCAGCTTCCCTGCTCGTGATTTGCCCTTTTCCGCTACCTTGGACATGTGTGCATTCCACGAGCAGTCTTTTGCGATCTCTACTCCGAGGTATGTGTACTGGTCCACTACTGCAATCTCCTCGATCCCCCACTTCCATCTATGTTCTACTGGTTCCTCCTTGTTCTCGTTGCATACCATGACGGCACTCTTCTGAACGTTGGCAGACAATCTCCACTTATCAGTAAACTTCTTCGCCGCGTCAATTTGCAGTTGCAGTCCCTCAGGGGTGTCCGACATACCGACAATATCATCCGCAAACAGCATTCCTGAAACCGACGTTTCCGTGTCCCCTACTTGTACTCCCTTCCGGACTGCCTTTACGACTTCCAACAGATCGTTGATGAACACCTGGAACAATGTTGGGGACAGCGTGCGACCTTGTGGGACCCCCTGCTCAATGTCGAAGAATTTAGACAGTTCTCCGTCTAACATGACCGCGCTTTTCGTACACGCTGTCATCTTCTTCAGCACTCTCCACATTTTCTCCTTGAGATCCCGTTTTTGGACAGTTATTTCCACAACCCATTTCTCCATACGGTGTCGTGAGAGTGTGTTTGGGGCGCTGCGTGTGCGATGACGATGACCGTTCTACCCTAAAACGGCCGTCGATGACCACGATAGTTGTGTTGTGATTCCGTTCTCTCTGTCCCCTCCCTCCTGTGGTATTGTCTCGCTCTACAATAGGCAAAAGGCAGCAGCCGGCAGCTGCACAACCCACTTACCGGCGTCGCTGCCGGGGGTAAACCCGCCCCCTCCCTTCTCCACATCACCGGGACTCCCCTCTCCGCGCACCGCCGACCCGGCGGTCGGCGCCCGCTTCGCGAAACGCCCGTCCACTTCACCGACGCCAAAGGAGCCGCCGCTGCCGCTGCTGCTTCTGCTGCTGCGGCCACCGACCCTCCTACCACTACCACGACTGATTATCGTCGACACCACGGCAGAACAACAACCCCCGCCGCCTTCGCGGCGAGTGCGAATCCGCCGTACGTCGTCTGCGAGACGCAGCGCCGCCAGCGTGAGGCGGGGGTCGTGGTTGCCCTCGGCTAGCACGAACGCGCTCGAGCCGCCGCCATCTGGTAGGCGAGGGTCCATGCCGAGAAGCACGAGGTAGCGGCACGTCTCCGCCCGACCCTGTTTTTTCGGTGATTGTTGGGAAACAGGGGAGGGAGCGTACTCATTTTTTTCAATGCCTTAGTTGTTTGACCACGTGTCCTCGAGAGGACAGAGTGGGTGGCAGACGATAAAAAACGCATTTTCTACACTGCAAAGTCACGGGCAAGTCGAAGGTCAGACAGAGACACCAGCTGTGGAGAGGAGCCCTACCAGTCACCACCGTCACACCTCGCCGTCGACACCCCGCCGCGTGATGGCTGCCAACCGCAACCAACCGAACAAGTATCGCCACTTAACTTACCCCCCGTGTAGCTGTACTGGGGAATAGGAAGTGGTTTGAAAAGGCGGCAAGTGATATCGTTAGGATAGACAGACTAGGGAAGACACTTTTGAGCCACCTTTGGCAAGTAGGAAGGAACGATTGGCCATCGGTGATCGGTCCTGTGGGAATAATGCTCTGTCCTCTCGAGGACGCGTGGTCAGTTCTAACCGCTAAGGCATGCAAAACATAAGAGTACGCCCCCCCCGCCCCACCCCTGTACTACCACAATAATCATCTTCCGGTCGGCCACTGCAGCAGCAGTCTGCGCACGCAAGCACGCTCTCTTCCTACCTGGCTCGCCGCCCAGTGCAAGCAGCTCTTCCCTCCCGCGTCCAAGGACCAGGGGTTCAGGCCGTGCTCGACGAGAAGCTTGGTCACCCCGGTGTGGCCCGAATAGCAGGCCCAGTCCAGCGCCGTGTGGCCGTCGCAGTCGGTGCGGAACAGTAGCGAAGCCACCCTCGGGTCGAGGGGGGTCGTCGCGTCGTGCCCGCCTGTCGCTGCGGCTGCTGGACCTGTCTCCCCTGCTGCCGCCGCCCCGGCAGTGCCACAGCAGTTGTCGCTGTTCTCCGTTTCGGTGGAGCCGGCTCGGGTCTTACGGCGGCCGAAGGTCGCCGCCGTCGCTGCTTCAGTGTCCGCGCTTTCACCTTCATCACGGAGATCACCGCTGCAACCGCCGTCCTTCGCGCAGCCTCCTCCTTGACCGGGGTCGCCGCCGCTGCCGGCCTCTGCACCGCCGCTGACGCCGCCGCCGTTTCTTGCCGTGTCCTCCCGCACGATTCCAACCCCTCCTCCGTCTCCTGCGCGTATTGCTTTGTACTTCGTGGCTTCCGTCGACAGGAAGAAGGCTAACGCCCACAGCATCCCGTTACGGGCCGCGTTGTGAAACACGGTGTTCTGGCTGGCATCCACCGCGAACATGTCCGCTCCAGCCTCCTACTCGAGAGATGGGGGGGTGGGGGGGGGGGCC